GCCAAGGGCCATGCAGGCATGTCCCCATATTCCAACACATCAGTGTTGGAGTTGGGGCAGGGCAGGCAGGCCCAAAGACTCTGGAGCCAAGGGGACTTGGGATCTACTCCCTTGGAGCACTGCTGGGAATCCAGCAGGTCTAGGGAGTATATAGATCCTAAGCATAGGATTCGGTCAATTGCTAGTCCCCAAAACTGGCTCAGAGGCAAGACAAAAATGAAGGCACTGCGGACAACAGGAGGCCTGGCTCTCTTCACAGATGAAGAACAAGAGTAAACCCACACTTTACCTTGGAGTCATGTGAGACCCTCAGCCCCTGAAACTGGTGCAAGCACAGCAAGGTTAGGTGGACACATCGCAAATGGTTGACCTTTGTGTTAAGTCATCCTGACAGCATGAAGGCTTGGAGCTAGAGACTGACTCTGTTCATTTTATAGAAGTGAAAGAGATGCAATATTTCAGAAAATCTGTATTTGCATATCAACTTTGTACCTGCCACATTCAGTCCTAGTTGCAGGCTCATTTTGATGGCCAAGGGAAGTCAAGCAATGATCCTAGTGAGAGATGAAATTGGATCACCATGGAAGTAAGGAGGAGAAGTGGAGAGAATCTGATGCTATTGAGGAAGTAGAATTGATAGGATGTGGAGAGTACTTGGAAGAAAGTGGAAGGAACCATGAATGACTCCCATTGCTGGCCAGAGCTGGTGGAGGCAGAGATGAAGAGAAGAGCCAGCAGGGGTCAGCTAGGATGGGGTTAGTTCTGAATTTGTGGGATCCATCACACCCAAGAGACAATGTCACTGAGGGCAAAGAATAAATAATGGGGAACTTAGAGGAGAAGTCTGCGCTGGGTGTGTGCATATGGGAGTCATGAGTTTCCTGGACACCAAGAATGAAAAAGATTCCAAGACAACTGCAGGAAAAAAAAAAAGAGAATGGAGCTGGGAGCCATCTGAAGAGCTCCATCGTCTAATGGGCAGGCAGAGGAGGTTGTGCCACACAGGAGTTGAGAGTAAGGGGATGCAAGGAGCTGCTGCAGTACAGAAGGAGAAAGGAGGGAGGACATGACTGCGGCTGAGAAGCCGGATGAGGTGGGAAATGTAGAATACCCTGAACTTAGGGACACAGCAACCATGGATGACTTTGGAAAGATGCATCTTGTCCACAAGTGTAGAAGAGTTGAACAGGAGGCAGGAAAAAGGAGCCAGGGAGCCACTTCCACTCGTCTATGGAAAGGGATAAAGGGTCCTTGCTAAAGGGAGCAGGGGGATGGAGGAAAGAGGATTTAGTCCATTTCTTTTCCATCCTAACAGCTCTACTGACATATAACCAACATACTTCTTAACTGCATATGTTTTAAGAGTAGCAATTTTTTTTTTTTGCTTTAAACAATTTATTTAACTGAAATGGACTTAAGTTTGTTTCTGAAGTGACTTCCATTTATTTTGATACATCTTTTCCCCATGATGATTTACAAGATCTTCAAGCCAATATAAATATTTTATAAATATTTAATTTTTTGGGTATACACGTGCACAATACCTCAGCAATATCTTTTAGCAAGAAAATACTGAAGAGTAAAGGCTAGACACAATTATTAGGTACAGTGAAAATCTGCTGCAAATATTTCTGAGGTAAGAAGCCACCATATACCTGTTCAACTAAGAAAACCACCCTTATAACACAAGATGGTTTTATTTTTACATAGGACCTAGCACACTTAAGCTGCCAATTAGGTACTGAATGGCAGAGCAACGTCCCCAGTTTATGCCATGAATTCATAGGGAATAGGTTCCAACAACTCAGTTCCTTTCCATTGGTCCTCACAAAGTGTGCTTCTCTGGGAGGGGCAGGTTGGCGTTTCAGCTGAACCCAGGTGCCTTTCTCTTTGGCTTCCTTCTTTTTCTGATCATTTCCCTTGACACGTTTCAGGAAGCTATCATGACTTTTTGAGTGTTTAATATGCTCAATATGCACATTAATCCTCTTGGCAAGTATCTTGTTCTTAACTTGCTTGTTTGGGGTAACGTTGTGGACTCCTCCCGCTTTGCCATGGTAACATCTGTGAGGGACTCCTTTTTGCACAGTCCCCCTTCCCTTGATGTCTACAATATCACCCTTTTTGTAGATTCGCATGTATGTGGCCAAAGGAACAACCCCATGTTTTCTTTCTTTCTTTCTTTCTTTCTTTCTTTCTTTCTTTCTTTCTTTCTTTCTTTCTTTCTTTCTTTCTTTTTTTGGTGGAACTGGGGATTGAACTCAGGCCCTTGCCAGGCAAACGCTTATTCTACTGAGCCATCTCCCCGGCCCCCAACCCCATGTTTTCTAAAAGGCCTGGAAAATATACCGGGTTCCCCTCCTCTTGCCCTTTGTGTTAGTCATTTTGGCAAATTACTGGAAGATGGCAGTTCCGGCTGGAAGGAAGAGTAGCAATTTTAACAGCTTTGAGATATGACTATACCTATGAAACCATTGCTATAATCAGGAATGTTTTTCATATCCCCAAATTTCCTACTGCCCCTTAATAATCTCTGCCTCTGGATGCTCTCAGCCCTATTCGGAGACATCAACTGATCAGCTTGCAATCACTATGGCTTATATATTTTAGTTTCTCTTTTTAATAGTGGGATGCATATTATTTATTTTTATTTGCTTTTTTATAGTCTTGGGGGTTGAACACAATCCCCACTGTGTATACTGATCATGGCACTTCTTCCATTTTCTAGAATTTTGTATAAATGGAGTTCTTTTGTTTTATCTTATTTTTTGGAGCTCTTCTTAAAAGGTGCCCTTTTACTGAATTCTTCATTCAGCATAACCATTTTAAGACTCATACATATTTTTGTATGTATCAATAATCCATTCCTTTTTATTGCTACTGTGTGGCTATTACCACAATTTATTTATCTCTTTTGTTTACTTGTTGGTAAACATGTTAGCTATTTCTATTTTGGAACTATTACAAATCAAACTGCTTTGAATTTTTAAATTAAAGTCTTTTATGGAGGACACAAGCTTCCAGTTCTTGGCAGTAGATAACCACAAGTGTGTGTCTAATTTTTAAAACAGTGTTAAACTGTTTTCAAGATATAAACTAAAGTGGCAGTATAATTTTACACTCCCCTTGGTAGTCTCAGAGTTGCAGTTTCTCCAAATCCTTGCCAACACTTGGTTACTTTCTCACAGCTGAGACACAATACCTGACCGCATGGGTCTTAAGTGCGTTTTGGCTCATGGTTTGTGGAGGCTTCAACGCAAGGCAGGGCAGCATGGCAGAGGGGCAGAGCAGCAGTGAAACAGCCCATGGCATGGCAGGCAGGAAGCAGAGAGTGATCAAGAGAGGAGGAGGAGCTGACCCCTTCCAGGCCACACCCCTTCCAGGCCACACCCCCTGGGTCCACCCTCTCTGACCAGGCTTCACATTCCAACATCACATTCATCTACAAGCTCATCAGTGGACTGATCCCCTGATGAATATGATGCCCTCATGATCCAATCACCTTCCTTTGGGAAGACATCAAGATACAAACCATAGCAGACATTTTAGTAGCTTCTCCTCATTTTTCTGTTCCTATCCTATCTGAGAAAAGCATAAGGAATGTGGCACATGCAGGAAGGCAGAGAAAGGGCAGAGGACAGCAGACAACAGCAGCCATGTTCAGGTTAGCTCCACTTCTTCAATCCAAAGACAATTTTTTTCACAGTCTGTGCCTGGAGAGAAGCCCAGTCACTGGCAAATGTATTTCCCATGGATCTCACTCTTCCACATGCTAGCCTGTGGCCTTCCTGGTTAAGGACTGAGCGGGAGGCATGAATTCCCTAGGTGCTTTCTGGTTCCTCGGCCGCCATGGCACCTGTGAAAAAGCTTGCAGCCAAGGGGGGCAAAAAAAGAAGGAGGTCCTAAAGTTCATCCTCGAGTGCACACATCCTGTAGAAGATGGAATCACTGATGCTTCCAATTTCGAGCAGTTTCTCCAGGAACGAATCAAGGTAAACAGCAAAACTGGGAATCTCAGTGGAGGGGTGGACACCATCCAGAGGAGCAAGAGCAAGATCACGGTGACCTCCGGGGCGCCTTTTTCCAAAAGGTTCTTGCTGACTTCCTCAGATGGGACTTCAACTTGGGATCTTCCTGCTTCAGCCTCTCAGAATGCTGGGATATCAGGCATGTACCATCATTCCTGATACTGGAAATATCTCACCAAAAAATATTTGAAGAAGAATAATCTGTGTGACTGGTTGTACGTAGTTGCTAGCAGCAAAGACAGTTACGAATTACATTACTTCCCGATTAGCCAGGATGAAGAGGAGGATTAAAGCTCCTTTGTCTGGAATATTTTTTATGAGTTCTTGAATAAAACTTGGGAACAACAACAACAACAAAATTCCCTAGGGACCTCCACTTTGGAATGCTCCTTCATGGCCACTTTGATGTGACAAAGTGGGGGAAGGCCGGTCAAGGAGGTTCATTCACAGTCGATAGGCCCCTGGTTAGTCCACATCCAGTACAGAAAAAAGAAAGAAAGAAAGAAAGAAAGAAAGAAAGAAAGAAAGAAAGAAAGAAAGAAAGAAAGAAAAAGAAACAAAACGAAAAAGAGAGAAGAACAGAAAAGACATTTTCTTTGGTCCTAGGAGAAGACAAAATGGCGTGTGTGTGTGTGTGTGTGTGTGTGTGTGTGTGTGTGTGTGTGTGTTAGGCCAAGTATGGGTTTAGTCAAGTATAAGGAGGGCCAACCAACCTGCTGAAGAAGCTGTCCTGCTCAGCCCTAAAAGAAGGATGTCCCCTCCATTGATTTGGCCAAGAGCTAATAATATGTAAGGGGTAAGGAGGAATAAATTGTGTTGGCACCTTCAGAAATTATGAACAAATCAACACTCTCCTCTAAAGTTAGCTGCATAACCTCAGAGCACATGAAGGCTCTTAGATCAGACACAATTTGGAGAAGCAAGCATGTGTACCCTTAAAGTGAGAGTGAAAAAGGACCCACATTACAATACCTGTTGCTGCTGGGAAGAACACCCCGAACACAGTGAAGAAAGACTCCCCAGGGCTATAATCTGGCAGTGTGTTGTTCCACAGAAGTTCTGGTGAATAGCCAATAAAACCATGCTCTGAAATGACACAAACGACAGGAAAATGAACCCAGAGATCAGACACAGCACAGATTTCCTTACATTATAGTACTTTTTTTTTAGTCATTTTGAGACAGGGTCTCATTATGCAGTTCAGGTTGGCCTTGTTATCACTTTGTAGTTCAGGTTGGTCTCAAATTCACAATGATCCCCCTGCTTCAGCCTCTGGAGTGCTGGGATTACAGGCATGTACCACCACTCCTGGCTAGAGTACTATTTTGTATGATGTTAAATATTAAGAGATAGAGATGAGAGAGAGAGAGAGAGAGAGAGAGAGAGAGAGAGAGAGAGAGAGAGAGAATGTGTGTGTGTGTGACAGGAGGAGATGAGAGAGAGAAGATCTACCCCAATCATCTTCCTTCCCCCTCTGAGGGCTTTCTGTGTGTCCCTACAGCTCTACTGACACAGGTGGATGAAATGACACAATGCAAGCTCTGAGAAAAGGAGCATTTTCATTTTTACTTTATAGACTTCAGTATAAACTGGAGTATCTTAGTGTCTTTCCCTGGAAATCTGTGTATCTGCTTTTCATATTTAAAAAAGTTGTTGATAAAAAAAAATTGTTGATGTGTGCAAGTTACCTCCCTGATTAAAAACCTCCCCTGAGTGCCTATGAGCTGCAGAAATAAGCTCCAACTCCTTCAAGCATATATCAAAGCTCTGAGCAACCTGGGGCAGCCCACAGCACCCTCTCCTGCCTACTCCTTGCCCTCCCAACAGTCCCTCTTCTCAGGCCACCACCAGCACCACCAGGCCTCCCTCCCGAGGCCCTGACTTCCTGGCTTCTTTCTAGGCGTTAGTACTGTGCACAGCTCAGAAGTGCAGTGTCTCCCTAATCAGAACTGACTCCCGTCACTGCTTTTGGTACCAAAACCAGCCACGCTGGCTATCTCCCAGTCACAGCCTCTGCTGCAAGAGGTCCAGTCCTATGAGTCTCTGTGCCCGAGCCCCACTCTGCAGCTGGTGCACAGTGGGTAAGGTACATCGGGTGTCATGTGGGAAGGAGCCTCTTAGATCGCTCAGTGTGGGGGCCCAGCTCACACCCACACCTGACTTAGACTTGCTCCCAGACTACTTCCCAGCCAGGCTATCTCAGATCTAATTCTTCCAACTATTTTAAACGTACATTGACCTTAACAGTTTCTCAACTGGCTCCAATCGTCCAAGCACTTTGCTTCTTCGACAGAGGTCACTTTGCTCCACATCTGTGAAAGCGTTAGTGCTGTGGAATTCTGAGCCCTGAATCAAGAGCTCTTGGCTCCGAACCCAGGATTTTCAGCCCTGCTTTTGATGCTCCTCTCTGAGAACGAGTCAGTCTACTTCTGTGAGCTCTAGTCTGGGAGAAACCAATTCCTCTCCTTTTCCCTCGACCCTCATAGCCACACAGGATGGTGTCCAGCTGCCATAGGCCACTGCCACACAGCCCCCTGACAGCCTCATCCCCCACCCACCTCGCACTTCCTTCCACACAGAAGCTCCCGTCTCACAAGGCCGGTGGGGTTGACTGCACTTCCTTCAGCTTCCAAGAGCCATAACTTCATAGGAAAAATATTTTTCAAAAAAAAAAATCGTAAAAGGGAAGCTTAGTAAAGCAGAAGGGGACCCCTGGGAACCTAGAATCATCTTCAGTCGCTTTCCTTTGCCTGAACACAGAGCTCGCTCTGCGCACTAAATCCCAAGCAGCATGCAGGATGCAAAAGGGCTTGGCGCCCCTGCAGCTGGTCCCCCGCCCAGAACAAAAGAGCAGCGAGATCTGTGGTAACTTTAGCTTCCCCGCTGGCTGACCCCAGGACTAGTCTTCTGAGGACAAAACCAGCCCCCTGCCTCTGAGCTCAGTGCAGCCCTGCTGGGGTGGCGAGGGGTCTGAAAGCCTGGGGCAGGCTGTGTGGCCTGTAGCCCTAAATGCCTCAGCAGGGACTTGGCCTCTGCTGCCAGAGGGCCCAACCAGCCAGGATTTGGTCACCAGGCTGAGGCCTTTGTCCTGGTCAGCCTGAAGGCCCAGTGGGAATTCAGGCCCCATGTATCACTCTGAAGCCTTACCTTTGCCTCCATCCCCCAGCTAGGTCGGCAACCAAAGAGCAGGGGCTTGCCTCAGTTGCCTTCTCTTGTAGGGTGAGTGAAAACTGCAGACCCATGAGCACATATTCACATTGACTCACACTGACACACACCAACACAGAAGCACAACACTCTGTGACATATCCATGAGCACACTTACCGACACACAAGCACACACTGACACTCACAAGCACACTCACACACAAGCATACACTCACACTGACATTCAGAACACATAATGGCACACTCACAAGCCCACACTACCACACCTAGATGGGCACACCCACATGAACACAGGCACACACTCACACTGACGTATCCATATTAATACACAAGTATACACACTAACACATACCAACGCACTTATACTGATACTTATACACAGGCACACATTCACAAACATAGATGCTGACAGGACACACGGACAAGCACACATTCACAATGACATTCAAACTCACACTCACACTTTCCTGTTGGCACTCTGACTTGGACCCCAAATGTAGTTCTTTTTCTTTCTTTCTTTTGGTACTGAGAATCAAACTCAGAATCTTGAGTTTGCCAGGCAGGCACTGTGCCACTGAGCTATATCGCCAGTCCCCAAGTCTAGTTCTGAAGCTTCTCAAGGAATAATCTTAACTTTGAGGAGAACTCTATGGATGAAGATGTTTGTTAGTGTTTTACTTGTAATAATGTGAAATTGGGGGTCTAAATGGCTAACTAATGGGAACTGAGGTATTTTAAATGCTTATAGATAAAGAGATTTTAATATCATAGGGACTGCCCATAATGTGCATGTGTTAAGTTAGAAAACTGGATACTGGTTATATCATAAACACACAAAGAAGTCTTAATTCATATATACAAGAAAAGTCTAGAAGGAAAAATATCAAAATATAACCTGAGTGGTCTGTATAAATAATTATGAACAATTCTTCTGCTTTCTTCTTTATTTATTTATTTTTTTTTGCAGAACCGGGGATTGAACTCAGACCCTTGCGCTTGCCAGGCAAGCGCTTAATCTACTGAGCCATCTCCCTGGCTCCGCTTTCTTCTTTTATTTCTATAAAATTTCCACATTTTCAAAATGAACATAATCAATTTAGCATAAAAAATAGTATCTCTTAGGAAAACAAAAGGACATTACAACTGAAAGATCACTCTCTCTAGGGAGATTTCCCATATATGAATGTTTTTTCTTTCTCTCTCTCTCTGTCTCTGTCTGCTCTGTCTCTGTCTCTGTCTCTCCCTCTTTCCCCCTCTCCCTCTCCCTCCTCTTCCTCTTCCTCCCCCCTTTCTTGTTTCCTAGAATGATTTGGGTGATTAATGAGGAAAACATAAAAAAGATAGGGCAAATAAAATTAAAAACAGAAACAAGAAATGAGAGAGGTTGAGATTGCATTGGAGAACACCCATAGTCCATGCCGCATTTGAGGTCTCTGAATAAGGCTTTCAGATAAACAATGCAGTGATCCCCAAAACTAGACAGTTAACTGTATAATCACTTGAGCCCACTTGAGCCTCATGGAAATATTGGCCACATTTCCATGGGTGAATCTGGCCTCATCTTCCTAGGCCTTTACCACCTACCCCCATTGCCACCCTATCTCAGAGCCCCCAGTCCTAATCCAATCCCCAGGAAAACTGCTCCTCTCATCTTCCTGCCTTTGCTGGGATGGGGTCTCTCTCCCACATCCACTACCTGTAGTCTTACTAGATCTGGAGTTTAGGTAGAGTGTGTGTCCAGGTGAGGCTCTGATGCCCTGCCCAGCTGGTCCTGGCTAGCTAAGTTGGTGTGAGGTCAGCAGGCCACACCAGGGTCAAGGGTACAGAGCTAAGGCACATGCCACCTGCCACACCCTCCTAGAGTGACACCTGAGACCTGACTTGCTGATACCCAGAAAGCTTCCTAATTCTTTCAGTCAGAGCCCTGTTCGAGAGTCTAGAAGCTGCGATCACTGTGACCATATCCACATTTTGCAAGCCACCTGAGGGTTCCAGGTCTCTGAAGCTTCTTGGTGAGGAGGTGAGGCATAGAAAGCCCTGTGAACCTGTGTTTATCTACAACTTCATGTTTTTGTTTTGTTTTGTTTTGTTTTGTTTTTGCAGAAGTGGGGATTGAACTCAGGCCCTTGTGCTTGCCAGGCAAGTGCTTACTCTACTGAGCTATTTCCCCGGCCACTATCTACAACTTCAGAAGCCTGTATGTCCATGTGTCTGTGTCCCACCTCAGAGTGGACAGCAGCCCCAGAAAGGATGTAAACAGAGATGTTTTTATTCTTCAGCCCTTGTAGGTACCAAGACAAAACTGTGGTGAGCTGTGGCTCACCGTGCCCACCACAAATGTGTGCAGAGATCTCCCCCCACAAGGAGATCACTGGGAAACCTCCCTTTTGAAACAATGCTGAGCAACTCTTTATTGGGCACCATCTATAGGCCAATCACTGGGCACCAAGTCATCAACAATCATCCTTGATCCTAGCACCCAATCTGCATGAATTTCAGTTTCTAAGAAATCGAAACTCAGGAAAGGGAAGACTCATCCAAGGTCACATAGCTAGGAATGACCAAATTTCACTCACTGCCTTTCTTGGGATTAGAGCCTTTGGCATGGCATGTGGCCCCATCAGAGATGTACATGTCATCCAGGGTTGCCCTGAAGATCAGGGCATCTCCCTTGTGCTGTTGGGGAGAGTAGGCAAGGCCTAATATGCTGTGATGGGCTCAGCAGTATGGGATGTACTGGGTTTGGAAGCTGGGAAAATGTTGGACTCCTGGTCTGTCTGGTTCAGTTTTCCACCCACCATACTTTCTCTGATTTATCCCAATGTCTCACATTTCCAGGGATTCTAAAACTTATTTTGTGGGAAGTGGCTGAATCTGGAGATCAATCACACATGCAGGGCTGGAGCAAGGCCACCCTC